GCGGGGCAGGGCGGGTCAGGGGCAACGTGAGGGGGGGAGGGGGGCAATGTTATGGGGGGGGATGTTGGGGGGTTCCCAGACCCCCTCGAGTAATGAAAAAATCACGACGGGAGGTTTTTCCTAATTTTCGGCCTCCGGGGGCCCTCACCGGGCCTCGGGAGCGTCAAAAAACGACTCAGGATGCAAAGCCGGTCATGGGGAAAGGGTCGGGACCTCTGGGGGTCGACGTCATGAAAAAATCATGACGTCGGGGGTCTGGGTTCGAGGGTGTTCTCCAAGGGCGCCCCCGAGGGCGCGAAGTTGTTCGCGCTGGAGGAGATCCCGCAGCCGCGGCCACCGGAGATCTGCCGTGGGCCGGCGGGGCAGGGCGGGTCAGGGGCAGCGTGGGTCAGGAGCGAAAGAAGGACGTACATGTACATGAATCCCCGCTGTTTTCGAGAGCACGCATTTCACAAATGTTCGTATAACGCGGCCGGTCTCGCGAATCGAGGGGCCGCGTTCATGTACATAGCCGAATCGAGGGGCCGTGTCAGGGGCAACGTGAGGGGGGCAATGTTACGGCAGGTTTGCGTCGTGTCGACCAGCGGCGACCCCAGCGCGGGCGTTCAGGGTTGAACGCCGCCGGCGACCCCGAATCGATCGATGTTGGACGATCGGACGTTGCGGCAGCGGCCGATCGTTCAAGGTTGAATGATCCCTGCGGTGTCAAAAACCAACGCTGGGGTCGGCACGACACGAACCTGCCGTATGGGGGGGGATGTTGGGGGGTTCGAGGGTGTTCTCCAAGGGCGCCCCCGAGGGCGCGAAGCTGTTCGCGCTTCGCGCTTCGCGCCTCGCGGTTCGGCTCTGGTTCCTCCTCGTCCTCCCCTTCTCCCCTGGAGGCGGCGCGAGAGCGCGAAGTTATTCGCGCTTCGCGGTGCGCGCAGCGCGAAGCGCGAAGTTGGGAGCCCTTGCTCTCGTGGGTCTGGGGCAACGGTAGGGGGGCCACGCTATGGGGGGGGGGAATGTTGGGGGGTCCGAGGGTGTTCTCGTGGGTGTTCGGCAGTTCTCCAGCCTCGGGGATGATTCTTGCAGCAGCTGCGCCTCGCCGCGAGCGTTGCTCCAGGGGTGCCCCCCCGGAGCGTCTCGAGGGGCCGCCGGGGAGAGCCGACGTGTGGCCCGACAAACCGGAGGGGCCGCGACGGGGGAGGATGGGCTCGTGGGGGGATGCATGGATCCCTAATCTCGCAGGCCTGGGGTTAAATCGGGCCTGTCCCTCTACAGGAGGAGGATTCAAACACAGGCAAAAATTTAGTATGGGTACGATTTGTTTGGAGTTTTTATGGACCATTTGGGAATCTTTCAGGGGATTTTTCCTTTTTCGTCCAAAATACGCCTGTAGGGGGACATGTCCGACCTAAGCCTAGAGGTTGACACCAACAACAATATCGGCGGTGTGCCTCCACTGAGGGAAGAAGGTCCCGAGCTCGGTGGAGGTGGAAATGTTCTGGCTTCAAGGTGACCGAAAGATTACCACCAACCAGGGCTGAACCTAATCGGTGTTCTTCTTTTTCGTTTTGTTCTCGCTTTCCCTCGTTTTGTCTTCGATTCGCCTCTACCGCAGGACGAAGTCGAAACGAACACGGCCCACGAGATCGCCCAAACACCGTAAAAAGGTCCACCCCTGCCACCAGCGCCCAAATCCTGGGATCCTCTCCCCCCTGTGGAAGCAGCCCCCCTTGTGTTGGTGCTGGTGCCCGCTTCCAGGCCTCCAGTAAGCACCCACTCGTCGCCGACGGGGGCCCGTCGCCGACCTGTCGGCGATGGAGTCGAGGCCGATCTTCCCCCTCTCTCCTCCTCCTCCCCCTCCTCCTCCTCCTACTCCTCCTCCTCCTTTTCCTCCTCCGCCTCCTCCACCCTTTCCTCCTCCACCTCCTCCTCATCCTCGTCCTCATCCTCCTTCTTCTCCTTTTCCTCCTCCTCCTCCTCCTCCACCCTTTCCTCCTCCTCCTCCTCCTCCTCCTCCTCTCTCCTCCTCCTCTCTCCCCGTCCTCCTCCTCCTCCTCTTTTCCTCCTCGTCCTCCTCGTCCTTCTCCTCCTCCTCCTCCTCCTCCTCCTCCTCCTCCTCCTCCTCCTCCTCCTCCTCCCCTCCGCGGGGGCGAGCGGGGCGCCGTCGGAGAGCCGCGGCGGCGCTCCAGGCCGGAGGATCCGCGCGGCGTCAGAGGCCAGCTGTCGGAATCGTCGCAGCACGAGCCTGCCGCGTGCTCCTCTCTCTTGCCCTCGGCTCTTTCCTTTCCCCTCCGTCCTCGTCGTCGCCGTCGGAGAGCCGCTGTGGCGTTCAAGGCTGTCAAAATCTAGGCTTGGTTCCCTAGGGTCCGCCCACCAACGTGGGCCTGGGTTCCTAGGTCAGCTCGCCAACGTGGGCCTGGGATCCTAGGTTCACCCAGGCAGGTGGGCCTTGGTTTCCCAGGACCACCAACGTAGGCTTGGTTCCCCAGGGTCCGCCTGCCGTGTGCTCCTTTCTCTTACCTTACGGTGGCGTTCAGGGCTGGATGATCCACGCGGTGTCAGAGGCCTTAGTGGGCCCTGGAAACGACAGGGCCGTTTTTTTACCGGTTCCGTTTTGCCGTTTCTCTGCCGGTTCCGACGCCGTTTTTTTTTACCCGTTCCGTCGCCGTTTTGTTGCGGGTTCCTGCTCCGGTTCCAATTCTGGAGCCGTTTTTGTTGCCGTTTCGGGTCGCCGTTTTTTTGCCGTTTCCATTTTCAATGGACATTTTTTCGGAAACGGTGAAAAAACGGCTCTGCCGTTTCCAGGGCCCACTAAGTCAGAGGCCAGCTGTCAAAATCGTCACAGCACGAGCATGCTGTGTGCTCCTTTCTCTCACCTTCGGCTCTTTCCTTTCCCCTCCCTCGTCGTCGTCGCCGTCCTCCTCTTCCGCAGCTCGGGCGCTCTTCGGCCAAGGCCAGACACGCCTCTCGTCAGGAGCAGTGGCCGCAGGGTCACAGCTGCCGCCATCAGTTGCCGAATCAATCGCCCTTTATTCCATTCTCCTTTCCACCTGCTCTCAGCTTGTTGTTTGATTCGATTTCATAGCTTGCCTCCTCCTGAATTTTCGAAAGGTGTCCACGAATCCAAACACATTCTAGGAGCGGGGTCACCTGTTCGACAGAAGCGGAGCGTGGAGCGACCAAGTTCTGTTCGAGGGCATGGCGACGACGGTCGCGAGCTCCATTCGAACGTATCTCAAAGCCACAGCTTTAGCTCTTATGGTCCGCCATGTATGTCTCACATCATCTCCGTCGTCTTCTGTCGACCATAACTTCTTTCTTGGCCGTTACGGTGGTCGAGTTGGCTCGCGCACCGACTGCAGCGCGGCGCTATGGCCTGTGTCCATGCGCATGGCCAGCTTTCATTCTCTCGTTTCCTCGTGGCCGTTGCATGGCTGCGTGTGGACGTGATATCGTCAAGAAGAGCATGTGCATCAGCAGGGTGGTTCGACACGCCTTCGAGCTATCTCTTGGTGATCAGCCAGCCGTGTCGCAGGACCGATCGCGCCCTCTCTTCGGTTTCCGAGAGGTCGTCAGTGCTTCCCGCTCGGGTAGCTCCCTCCTCGCTACCCTCCCCACCTCCTGCACCGGTTTGCGTCTTGCAGCAAAAGTTGATCTTGCCCAGGGGCGCGTGCTTGTGCGCACAACCTCTTCTTGGACTGCACTCCAGACTTTGTGCCACCTTCGGATCCATCGTATGTGTCCCTTGCCCCTGGGGACCAACGCACCGTGCTGTTGTTATTACTACTGCTACTGTGATGATGGTTCTCAGCATTTCATTATCAATGTTCTTGTTATGCCTCTACTATAGCTGTTATGGTTTTCAGTACCGGTCCCACTATCATTATCATCATTTTGATTCTTACGGTGATGACGAGGTGCTGATGATGGCGTGCTGCTGCTGCTGACGTTTTTTTTTGTGTTTTTTTTTTGGGCAATTATTACTATTGTTAGGTTGACCATTCGTATTCTTCGTATGGTTGACTATGATCAGCAATGCTCTTCTTCTCATTGTATGGTTATGATGATGATGCTGACTATTACAATTATTCTTGACGGTTCGCGTATCCCAACCAGCAGGCGCATCTCTCAGCAGTGGGTCGGCGTTTGCCTTTGCCGGTTCGGCCTCAGGCTCACCCTATCTGCCGCGGATGCGGTTTCTGAAGCTGCGACGGTTCGCTGGCGCTGTCAGAATCTCCTTCCTTGCTGGACGACGTCAACCAGTTTCGGTCTGCTCATACCTGTCAGACTCTTTGGACTGACTTTCTCGCACGGAGTTCGGTTCCCACCACCACGCGGTTGTCTCGGCACGACCACGACTGGGACCGCACTGCGCGCCATTTTGGCTGCGCCTGGCTTGCTCCTGGGTGACTGACCCCTCAGACTCCCTGGGTTGCAGCTTGCACGACCGCCTCAGGTGACTGTCTCCGCAGACTCCCTGGGCTTGCACGACCGCCTGGCCTCTCAGACGCCCTGGGTTGCTGCCCGCCCCCGCCGCCTATCCGCGGCCCCCGCGCGCGCCCGGGTCAGTCGCGGCCGCAGCCCGACCGTGACTGCTCGCCGCCGGCGCTTCCGCCTGCGGCTGTAAAAAAAAAGTATCCCAACCAGCCCATCCAGAAGCGATGCTTATGAGAGCTGACGGGGGGAGAGAGGAAAGCGAGGGCGGATTGGGAGGATCCATGGCCATCTCGAGCCGTCTTAGAGCGGTCTTGGGGCCGTTGGGAGCATCTTGGGAGCTGTCTTGAGCCAGCTTGGGCTATCTGAGCCATCTTGGAGGTCATCTTGGGCTCTCTGCGGCCGTTCGGGGGCCTCTTCAGGGCCTCTCGGGTGCCTCTTGGAGGCCTCTTGGGTTTTCTTGGGGAGCTCTTTGGGCCCTCGTGGGGCTCTCTTGGGAACCCTGGAGGCCATCTTGTAGGCTGTCGATCAAAAGTCCCCCCTCTCGGGGGCCACAATCCTCGTGAGGGGTGGCAAAC